GGATGGACAAGGGGGGTGAAGGAGAGAAATAAGCCGCCTATGCAATCACCTCGAGCGCAGTGTCTCCTCGCACAACCAGAACTGAGAAGCGAAAGCGAAGAGAATGAAGCAAATGCTAAAGAGAGAGGATGAGGGCGAAGTGGAGGACAGATAGATGGTGGTGGTGGTGGTGGTAATACAGTAGTAGTGGTACGGATACCGGCGCCGGACTAGGCGGGACCCCAAGGGCAGACGACGGACCGGGGGAAGGACGGAGCTGTCTGGTTGGTCGGAGCCACTGCACATCGCTATCATCCAGGGCTGTTACAGGGCCGGGCGCCCAGCGACACGATGAACCGGGCGAGTAGGGAAAGCTTAAGCCTGGAGCTGGGCTGAGCTTGGGCCATCATGTGCCGCCGAGAGCGGACATGGCAGCGATGTCCGGTGGCATTTTTTCTATCATGGCTTGAGCTTCCGCAAGGGTGATCGGATCTCGGAGCTGCGACAAAGCAACACTCTCTGTTTGACTCGAGTCGAGGAAGGCTTGTTTCAACTGCGTGGAATCTCGGCAGTTGCGATTAAAACGCCTCTTTTTTTCCCCAGTTAATACCTAGTGAGCCAGATCCCAGGGTCCATTGATACTTAGGTATTAGGCAGTTGGTGCCTGCCCCTGAATTGCTAAACCCGGAGTTCTGTTCCTCAGGTACCAACATCGCCAAGGTCACGCGACTCACATCCACAGAACAACTGAACCGTGGGCATTTCACAAATTCGGAGTTTCAAGAAAAAGCTTCCTCTTCAAAGCTAAACTTTTATGTGTTCCTTTGTCTTCAGAATTCCACGAATAAGTGTCTATATTCCAAAAGGGTGGGAATGCAACCCTTGCTTTCCCATCCGTCGATACAAAGAAAAGCAGCCAAGGACTTGTCCGAAATCCAAAAGGACAAAGAATCAAAAGCCCTGGTCGCAAACCACAGACGAAGGTTCCTCCTTCGTCAATCCCACGCCTCGCCGGCTCTACCTCTCCATGGGCAGGCCCGGAAAACGGCGATCTATGATACGTATGTACATGCAATGTCCCCTGGTTGTTCACACGGGAGTTGCAACCTCAGTAATTAAAAAGCGTGCCTTAAAAAGAAATCGGTTCGTTAAGAAAGTCAAGTGATCGTGCTGGTAGCCTATCCCATTTACAGGACAGCAACAGCCAGGATCAGAGCAACAGCGGCAGCGCCGAAGGAGTTGAGCTGGGCACCGCTGCTGCTGCCGGTAACCGAAGTGGAAGAGGGAGAAGCAGCAGACTCGGTGCTGTCACCGGATCCAGAGCCAGAACCGGAGCCAGAACCGGAACCGGAGCCAGAGTCGGAGCCAGATCCGGAGCCGCTGCTAGGCGTGGAGTTGGGGGTCAGAGTCGTGGCAGAGCCGTACGCAGAGTGGATTCCAGTGGCAGTCGAGTTGCTGTAGCCACCGTTGCAGTGGCCGTTGCAGTGAGCGCCAGTGGGAGTTGAAGCAGGAGTGGCAGCGGTCGCGGGGGTAGCGGTACTGTCTCCGTTGCTGGACTCGCTATCACTGGTGCCAGTGCTGGTCTTGCTGTCTTTGTTGCTGCTACCACTGCTAGTCTTTCCCTTGACCGTCTTGTCGACGCCGTCGCAAGAGAGATCGTACAGGGGAGTCTTGCTCAGCGTGGAGCCGACGACACCAAAGCTGGGGTTGGGCGTGGTGGGAGCGGCATCCTGGAGCGTGTACCACCAGACGTTGGTGACACCGAACATGGGGCAGCCGACGTCCTCCCAGTAGGTACGAGCGTTCTTGGTCGAGGGGATGGCCTTGTTGTAGGTCTTGCCGCTCACGGGCCAGCCAGTCTCGGTGATCCAGATCTCGCGAGATCCGGCGACAGCGGCAACCTTGTCCTTCGCGGTCTGGAAGAGGTTGGCACCCTCGGACACGGGGTTGTACTTGGTGTCCTCGAAGTAGGGGTATGTATCCATGCCGAGCCAGTCGCAAGCCTCGATGACGGCGCTGTTGGAGTCGTTGGAATAAGCGTTCCAGGTGTCGACGTGGCCAACGGGTATGGCAGACAGGCAGGTGCCCTTGATGGCCTTGCGCGTCTCGACGATGTATTCGGCGAGGGTATCGGGGCTGCAGCCGGGGTCTGATTGAGCCTCGATGCCAGTCTCGGAGATGCGATACAGATCCTCACTTCCGACACTAATACCAGCAACAAGGTCATCGATCTGGCCACAGTACTGCTCGATGGTGTTCTTGAGAGCTGCGATCTCATTGTCGAAGGAGGCGCTGCCTGCAGAGGCCCAAAGACCCAGGAGCATGCTGGTCTTGGTCTTGATGGCGGCAGGGATGGCAGAGATGGGGTCGCTGGTGCTTCCACCCTGGATCATGGTGTAAAGACGAGCACTTGTGAAGGCACCATCGGTGCCCACGAGGGAGGCAGCTGTCTTGAACTCATTCTCGAAATCGGTTTGGACCTTAACGGTGCCGTCACCGAAGGTGGCGCCATAGTTGAAGCCCTGGAAGGCAGCACTGGCCGTGGAAACGGCGGCCGCCATGGCGAGCAGGCTGTTGGCGGAAGGCATCTTGCTAAGGATGTGTGTGTGTTTGTTTGTGTGGTTGAAAGGCCGGGAAACCGGAGGACGAAGAGATTTCGAGAATCACTTCAGATCAAACAAGGACTGGACAGCGTGTGAACGAGGGCGTTTTCCAAAGGATCCAGTAAGTATATAGCGAGAGACTGGTGGTATTAAGAAGAAAGGAATAGAGAAATAGGATGAAGGAGAGGGAAATAGATGAAGAGAGAGGGAAGAGAGAGGGATATGGAGCAAGAAAAGGACATGGACGACACCTCAGTCATGCAGGCCCTCGCCTTGATCCCAGCTTGCCGGCCTCTAGTTTCAAGGAATGCTCATGGACTCGTGGACTCCAACACACCGGTGGCGACGGGGCCTTCCATGGGAGTCTCCACTGAAGACGTCGTTGATCCACCGACAAGTGGTCCATCGACTCCATCGACAGGCGCATCGAGGCATCGACATCGACAGGTCCCGCTGCCAACAAACCTGGGTCGTCGTCCTGCCGCGTCTGCTTACCCCTGGCCCACGCTCCCAGAAGAAGTGGTCCGGGTTGGCTGCATCGGGAACCGGATGCAGGCACAAACTCGGAGACAATGGAAGTGAGTGGATGGCTCTCGCCAGGTACAGGAACTGACTTTGGAACCAGGCCACCCCAGTTGCATGGCCGGCCAATCATGGCCGAGATGCCACGCAAAGGCGGCCCCAAAGGAGACGTGGCAAAGGAGGCCGTTTACGGGGGTGCCGAAGAGCCGTTGCTTTAAGACGTTTTCTTTGGGACGTTTCGTTGAAGCCGGACGTCTGTCGATGCTCCACGCGGTGGTCAAAGGGAGGAGGCTGCAAGTTTTGGCAGAGGCCTCCTCCATACCGACCCTTGTTTGCCATCCGTGGCATTCATTCGCAGCTGAAGATCTATCTTTATCACCAGCAAGTCAGCAATAGCAGCGAATCCCTTCGTTATGTTGGGTAATATCCAACGTCAAATATTCCCACGACATGGATCGGAGGGAAGACCCTGCCAAGCCATGCCCACCATCCACGCAACGATCGCCAACGGAAGCCAGAAATAGCAACGCCGAGCTCCCGGGAGCAACTGAGAGCCCACTTCCACCCCGGCTGGAGGCTTGGCTTTGAGTCCAAATGGCAGATTTCCTCCACAAGCCATGGCTTGGCCAGGTCCTGAACCAGGGAAATGGCCAATTCCTAAGTTGGTAGGAAAGCAGAGAAGAGCTGTGAAAGGAATACCACAGTATATTCACAGTCCCTGCTTACCACTGTATACGCAGAAGTTGACAAAAAATGGACACCGGGGGATACGAATCCAATCAGGCACTACACTTACGCCCGTCACGTCATGCGTGGGTCGAGGGAGACGTGGACAACAAACTTCGCCCTGGAAGTGACATCTTTAGTAAAACCCCCGATTTGCAGTTCCGCTCAACGCATCTGGACTAGAAGCTTCGAAATCCGCGGGGTCCGAGGAGGGGAAGAAAAGACAAGTAAGATTTTTGAGCGAAATATTGAAATATCAAAAGATAAAAAGGTTGGAAGAGAAAGACCTCGACAACCGGAATCGCAGGTCTTAACGTCACAAGCATGGGTGTTCGACGTTTAGATAATTCCTACGGTGGTATTTGGAGATACGACCGACAGTCGGGAGAAGGACTCGTCAGCTCCCCCAAACCCCAATCTACATATTTCTATTTCCGGTCTGTGCCTGTCCGTTCCTTGCAGAACCCACCCATCCACCCTTGTCAACCCCTCGTCGGACATTTCCCACGGCCGCACTTTAAGCGAGAGACGAGGAGACACCGTTGTAACCGTTCAGTTAACAAGGATTCCATCACAAGGCTTTGCCCCTATATCTCATTGTTACTAGGATATCTGTTTACCCTGCTGAGCGCAGTACCAGGGAGTGGGTGAGAAAGTGTCGATTCCCGCAAAGACAGGATTGAGAGAACCCACAATGTTATGGCTTTACGACGAAGACATAATGGCGACACATAATAAAACGCGGAATTATTGACACCTACAACTACGCTCTTTCTGTTGACTTGCCAGTTACCATCGGCAAGAAATGAAGGATAGAACGTACGGGTAGCGAGGACCTGAAGATACCTGCATCGGAGTTTTGCTACCCTGCATCACCACTTCTAAAGCAACTTTTATTGCCGGATCAGTCTACCATGTTCACCAACTAGACCAGCAAGCCAACCAAACCAAATCCGTCAATTAATCTTTCTTCAGGCGAGAATCACTGAGGTAATAATAAGCTAGAAGAGTTTTCCGGATCCCAAGAATGAAAGAAACTTTTACCCCCACCATCGCCACGTAAGTAGCTCACCACACCTCGCTCGATTCACAACTTGTTAGCAAAAGAGCAAAAGTGGGTTGGTTACTTTCCAAAAGTGGTAAAAATATTGGATGGCATGGTGAGACATTTGCTCCCAGCAGGGCTTGAACCTGCGACCTTCGCATTACCAACACTTGCAAGTTGAAGTATTAGTACGAAGCTCTAACCAACTGAGCTATGGAAGCCTTCCAATGACAGCTCTAGTGAGCTGCTGTGATTAGGTAAGCCTTAAGTCAAGATATACATGCTCGGCACCCTGCTATGAGATTTATTCCGAGCTTTTGTACTTGTACGTTGGACGGCCGTTCTATCATGAAGAAACCCTTGAGCTTCACATAAACATTTGCTCGTTACTCATATGCCACAGCTGAAATCTTTCCTATTCACCCAGTATCTATCCAAAGAAATCGCTTGAACGCCCACTTCTCACTCATACATAAACCCTCGGATACCTCTTAGGGCCGACGATTTTTTGTCCTTCTTTCCAGTCGAGTCCTCTCGCTGTTTGTCCTTGGAGTCCCGTCGAACTCGGGACTGTGAGAACAGGTCCGAGTGACTCCTTGCCATCAGCCGCCCGGACGACTCGCCCCGGGTGAACTGGCGCTGATCCGGGCTCATTGACAACGACCCTTCCCCGGACCAGTCCGTCCCGGATGGCGAGCCCGGCCGGTGAGACCATCCGCCTGACAGGGGCGTTCCGGGCTTCGGCTTCTGCTCTAGCGGCGGCGTTACGTTATACGTCGCCCCTTCTACCGTCTCGGAGTTTGACGGCACCCGGTGCAGTCGCGTCTTCATCGTTACTGGGCTTGCCGACATTGATAGGTACTCGCTATCCCCTTCGGTCGTGTGTGAGGTATCGATCCGTAATTGACCCGGCGTTGCCCCGGTCTTCATGTCTAACAAAGAGGACTGTAGGGCAGTGTACTTGCGCATGAGAAGGCTGCATTGCTTTTGCAGCTCTGCTTGCTTTTCCCGGCTCGCCGCTAGAGCTCCTTCGACGGCAGCTTTTGCGTGAGAGGGGGATCGACTGCGCCCTTCCTGTGCCTCTGAGAGCTTCGCCTGGAGCGTCACGATTTGAGACTGGAACAGCTTCTTGATCCGTTCAACCTCGCTTTCCCGTGACGCAAGTTGGGCGGATAGCACGTCAACCTTGTCCTTGGCGTCCGCAGCTGCGTCGATGGATCGCTGCTGTTCAAGCTCCTTCGCCTGCTGGTCCCGTTCAACCACCGTCAACCTTGCCACCTCGCGCTTGAGTCGATCGATCTCAGCTCCATGGAGCTCAATGGACTGCATGTTTTGTTGCGAGTTCAACTCCTTGACCTCGGCCTCGCACACCAGGACACGGAGTTTCTCCCCCTCCGCCTTGGAGGTTTCCAATTCTTTCTGGACGACCTCGAATTCTGCCTTCAATCTCTTGTACTCGTCACGCAAGTTCTTGAGCTTGTTGGCAAGATCGGCTTCCCACTTCTTTGCCAACGCTCGACTCTTCTCTGACTCTCTCCGGACTTGCATCTCAGCCTTCTTCGCCTCCTCGAACCGGCTCTTAAGGTGACGATTCATGATGAAGAGATTCTGAGTTTCAGCCTCTGTCGCCTCCTCCTCCATATGTCTCCTCCGTAGATCGCCAATATGGGCCATGTGTTGCTGTTTCAAGTATCTTTCGAAATTGAGATCATTCTGGAGAATCAAAATTCGCCGTTGTAGATTGGAAACTTGGGAACTCGGCTCAGTCAAAGACAGAGGCGAGCTTACAGTCGGTTGCGCGGTGAGGGAAAGTACAGCAGGTTGCTCTGCTACTGACTCTTGGTGACTAAGAGACAGCGAAGGTACACTATCGTTGGCCAGAGATTGATGCAGACTTGACTTGATTGCCTTATTGGATTGGATCATGTCCTGAAGCTGTGTATGGGACGCGGATTGTGTCAAATGCGGTGGCAGTGTCGGACTGTCAGCACTTGGCTCCTTATTCCTGGTCTCCATCGAGCCACGGGTTGAGGGTTGGCTTGACTGCGAACTCTGGCGAATCAGACCTAACGGCCTTCGACCGCTTACCATCGATTCCATGCTTGAGGATTGTGTGATCCGGTGGCCATCTTGAGGCTCAATTGCGGATGACTCGCTGAGCAGCGCTGGGTCATGGCCATCCTTGATGGAACCTTCACTCATTGGAACCTCTGCCACGGGTATTGAGGGTAGAGTCTGGCCGACCAGCTGACTCAACTCGGTCACTAAGCAGAGCCCTGTGCATTCGGCCACGACCTCAGAGGCCTCGCTCTTAATCCACCTGCTCAGGTCTGTCTTCTCCGAATCGATTGTGAGAGTATAGAAGTTGGGATGTAATAAGTGGTGCCGCCTGAACCTCTCGGACTGATGCCTTATCTCAGTCGGTTGCACCTCCATGTCGTTTGCATTGGCCACCTTTGCATGTCGTAGGTACCTTTGCGGTTTGCGAATGTAGTCCATAAAGTTGATGGGATACAATCCGTAGAGTATGGTATAATAGTTCAAAAGATGATAGACTGGGTGGTCGTCCACATCAGCATTGTAGCTGCAAACTTCCCACGGTCCGGCTTGGCCAGAATCTTCCAGTTGGGGCTCCACGATTCCAGCCCGCTCCCGAGACCAGAATAATAACCTTGCATAAATATTGAAGAGGGTCGGAAGATAGGGCACTAATGAATTGGGCATATGAGGTAGGAGCATGATCAACGCCGTCAGTGCGACAGAGATGATAGTGGTGGAGGTGTCCTGTTGCAGGCATTTCAATATGTTTCCAAAGAGGGGAGTCTGGAGAATTAGGTGAATATGTGGTGGTTGGCTTTGGAGGTAGTCTGATATGAATCTCAGCACGGCTTTGCGATACTGCTTCTTGATAAAATAACCGTCGAGGGCAATGAACATGTCCTTTAACGACATTAGCGGTCAGACCTCTACATGACGTGAACAGGATGAACAACTAACCTTGGGATGCCTTGTCCCAAACTGGATAAGAGACTCTCGAGTGAGCTTTTCGTTGTAATCCGCGGATGCGACGCCCCTGCTGGCAGCGGGGTACAGCTTGTCCATCCATCCGGTCAAGAGACGGTCGATGAGTGGGTTCGAGAAGAGATTCTCCTCGGAGGATTCCGAAGTTTCTTCCGCCAAAGATAGAATGTCCATGATGCTGGCTAGCGACTCGGCTACAACGCCTTTCTCGGGAGAAGTTTTGGCAGAGAGAGCAGCGCAAGAATCCCACCAGGCGAAGATGCGATCCGGAGTCCGGAGTGTAGGCAGAAGACGGCGGAGAATGGCTAGCCATGGGGCATAGGCGGCGGGTGTGTCCTTGACGTGTCTGTCAAAGATGAAGAGGAGGTCTTCATTGAGACGGTCGGCGACGGCATCGTCATACTTCGGATGTCGTCGCAGGTAGGCGTCGATGACTTGGGAGAGGTCATTGGGCAGCGGGGCGGTCGGCTCGGCGAGGAAGGCAACGATCGCCTTGGAAAGGTCCTTTAGCGACCTACGAAAGCGGGGATGACGGTCAGCAGAGGCATTCGACGAGAGGGAGAGCGATCAAGGGACGGCGATCAAGACGGCAGGGCGGCAGAGCGGCAGAGTCAGGGGCAGAAATGTGCGGATAGCATCGAGGAAGATTTTCAGGAGACAAATGACGTACGCCGATGAAGCCATGACTGGGGTGACGGCCTCATCCGGGCTCGCAGGATTGACGATGACCAAACCGAGCGGACGAGGCCCGTATTGTGTAGGAGCACCCGGGGTTTGGATGAAGCTATTCGAGCAGCATTCGAGCGGCGACGGGCGTGAGCAGGTGATCGCGATGGTATGAGGCGGAAGCGTGGCTGCGGGTTGTGGCGGGACGCTCAAGGTGAGGTGAGGTGCCGCGGCGACGGGCAAGGTTGCGCCGTGCAGTGGGTGGCCGTAGGTACAGTAGCGCAGTGGAGGACAAGCTTCGGGGGGTTGCGGCGCCTGATCTTAGCGGGGTTGCCAGGGCCCTGTTAGGGAAGCCGGGACAGGGAGACACCAGCTGGAGCTGTGTGGCGGGAGCCTACGGGGCGGCGAGCTCGCTAGAAACGGACAGCTTTACAGTGGCTTGTAGCGGGTGCTTCAGGCCAAGGTGAAGTGGCTTCAGCGAGCGATGGATGCGGCAGGTGGTGGGGCTCGGGCAGTGGAAAAACTGCAAGAGAACTGGAAGGCGCGCTGGGTGATCGGCCTGGCTGACCCGGGGGATCCGGGTCTGAGTACCTAGTGGCACGGGCGGGTCGAGGTGAGCAGCGCGGTACCCGGGACTTTTCAGGGCCCAGACCCACCGAGGATGAGCCGTGCGCTAGCAACCCCGCATCCCAGGCGCATGACCCCACGAGACGTCCGGGTACGTACCGCGCGACATGCGAGACAGGCGAGACGTACGGCCTGGAGTGGGTCCTCACACCAGACGGAGAGTGACGCCAGCAGCAAGCCTGCAATGAGGTGCCCTTCTGACTTGGATCGAGCCACTTGCTTCCATACCGCTGCAACCAAAGCAACTGAGGGTACAGACAAGAGAAACGATGACTGGGCCTGGGTGCTGTACTTTGGTTGTGTGCATGTACCCGATGTAGCAGCTGCAGCTTCATTGGTTGCTCTGGGTATGGTACTGTAAGGTGAGGTAGCAAGGACGGGAGTAAGGTTGAGACGGCCGGCCGGTAGAGGTACCCTCCCAACCCTACCTACCACATCAATGGGCATCCCTTACGAAAGTATTTTACTCCTCCTCACCCGCCGTTTTCTTCCTCCTCTCCCTTCCTTCCTTTCTTCCTCATCTTCCATCGAGATCCCATCAAGTCAATTCATCCCAAGCACCAGCCCAAACAAGCCCCTTTCTCGTGTGTCTGTCCTCTCTCCGACTTACACACATCCCACATTCACACTGAAGCCCCAAATACACACTCTTCCCACCCACCCACATCCAATACCGGCAAGATGAGTGCACACAAGTCCTCCGCCGTGGCCGACCAGGAGCCTCTTGACATCCTGTTCGCTGTCCACGAGAAGTTCGATCTCCTCGACTTCGCCGGCGCCCTTGAGGTCTTCAATACGGCCTGCCACGACCTCAAGGACCCCGAGAGTAAGTCAAAAACTGCCCACTTCACCCACCTCTCATTTTCGATGGATCGTCTCCCGTCCACCCCTCCCAAGCCCTACCCCT